GCAGAGCCCGCGCGGGCCCGGGCAGCCTGTCACTTTGCACTGGCTGAATAGGAATCAAAGGGCTAGAAGGAGAATCGCAAGAAACATCCGCGCTTCATTTTCCAGAGGTTGGGTTCGCCTTTGTGGCTCGGCGTAGACCGTTGTGATCCTAAGTCCCTGTGCGGCGTTATTCTCATCTGGAGATTTCGAAGCGTTTACAAACGGTAACGAATGCAGCTTCGTAATGCTGGCATATGATGGTGCTGACATTGGTGTCCGTGTTGTATATTCATAGCTAAAGCCAAGTGAAGAGGGATAGCAGTTTGCCACGGGTCACCTAGGAAGTTAGTAGCCAAACTGCAAATGTAATTGGCTCAATCACCTGCTTTAACCTCATCTCAGTCCGTTCCTCATCCCCTCCCCGCCCAGGCCGGCCCCTCCTATTTGCCCCAGGACCCAAGATTTCTGTTAGTTTTTATTCTACCTTGCAATATGCCAGTTCTGGTTTTCCAGTGAAGCAGTGACTTAATTGAAGAATACTTTGATGCTAGCTTCATTTTTTGTACTGTGATTTCAGAATGTAGACTAGTGTGGTGCTCTGTGTATGAGCAACATCCAGAAAGTCTTTGGTAAAAATCCAAAAGGCTGTTTGTACAGGGCAGAATCTTATCTGTCACTTAGTTCTGTTTGTATCAGCTTAATCATCAGTGTTTTCAAAATTCATTTTTTATGCATGCAGAAAAAAACATGAGCAAGTTATCTCCATATACAAGCACAAAGAAAAAAGCAAAATTTTCATTAGAAATTTTAACTATGTTGTACATCCCATCTCAGAAAATTACATTTAGAAAAATATTTTTGTACCTAAAATGCAATTTCTAGTATAACTTAGAAGTAGAGATGTTCTCTACTTCTCCAAGAAGTAGAGATGTTCTAAATGACTGTATTAAAAAGATGCAAGAACTGCTAGCAATGATAGTTTGGGAATTGTAATGTACTTCTAAAGCAATAAAACGTATGTTAGAAACTGTAAGTGTTAAGACTGCTGCTATTTGCTTCTATGAAATTTTTGTTGTGAGGAAAGAAGCAGTTCTCTGAAACAGAGCTTTTAAAACGATAATGACATTTTGGGGACAAATTTGGCAAAACTTTTTAATCGTGTCCTCCATAGTCCTTCTAAGACTGGTAGGACTACTTGCACTTGGACGTATTTTCAGGATTAAGAAATTGGTGTGTCATCCTGCAAATGCATACACACTGAAGTAAGTTTAGTTTGACTACTCTCATGAATATAACAACTGTACTCCTGTCCATAGTTTTTTTGTAAGATTCACATTTGTGACTAATGGCTGAAGTTGTTTGCATGGGGTCAGATGTGTACTTAATTTTGTTCTATGGATAAAGTATTGTTTATTTGGATTCATGATTTGATGCCCAGTTCCATCCTTTTACTACATGAAGATATGGGAAGCAATACCGGTAGCTTCTTAATATGTATTTTGCCATTTTTTTTTGTTTTTTGAAATAATTAATCTGTCTTGTTTTGCTCAAACATGAATTGCAGTGAATTTCTTGAATGAAGTCTTCCATATGGTTTTTGGCTTACATTATTTCTTTACTTTGCTCATGTGCTGTACCAGTTAAAACACTCGTCCAGCTATCCAAGCTCTGCTAATCTGACACTCATCCAAACATCCCTCAACATTATTCACACACTGCTTTATTTTATCATCCAATCATCTAAATTCCTTTTTATCCAAATATTTTGTGTGTTTGACACTTGTCATTGTAATGAGTTGTGATGCTGTCACATCAGTATTTAATGGGTTTGTTTTGTCAGCTGATATGGTGCTTGGCATGTTTGAATATTGCCTTTTAGTTGTTACTGATGAAGGAACTAGTGTTGCAAAAGATTAATACCTCAGTAATTTCACTGTTGTGCATTGCCTGGTTGAAGTCAATGGGACTGCTGAGCAGAGTACAGAAAACCATGTGGTTAGATGCTTCCTAATTTATGGCCTACCCAAATAAACAATGAGAGAAGACAGTGTTGCTTTTATGTCTCTAAATTGCAAATAGACTTTTAAACAGAATAAGTGAACATGAAGTTAAAGTATATAGAGTTTTCTAATCTCGTACTTTTCAAATATGCCTTAGAAGTTTAGGATTAATAAAGGTTGATGAAAATACAAAAAAGACCTATGAAGTTTATACTAGTATTAAACTAGGTAAGTCTTCAACCATTAGCTGGACTGCTGTGAGCTGATTCTTTAGGAAGGGAATAAGGAAACTAAGAAAATTTGCATTTAAATGAAG